TTCCTGCTCATCCCACAGCACGGCAGGTGCCTGAGCATCAGAAGGAGGCTTCCGGCCCTGCAACCCTTCACGAACAGCAGAGCCACAGCCAGGAAGGGAAGCCACCTGGCCTTCCCCAGGCCTCACTTCCATACCTCCCAGCCTGCTTCCTTGCGGGAGGGCCATAAAGACCATCTGGTGCAATTTCCTCATGTTTGGCCTGAGAGGGAGCCCAGGGTGAACCCAGTGTTCATTCCATGACTGCACTGTGCAGCCTCCACCTGCAGACGGTCTTCAGTGACCAAGGAGAGGGCCTGGAGGGTCTCCGAGGTGTGGCTTCTGAGACACCCTGAGGAGCCATGAAGGTCTTCCTAGTCAAGAAGCTGCTGGTTGTGACCTACGTTCTCTTATTTGGTGGTGAATGCAGCACCGGTAGCAAGAGTGGGGCAGGGGCAACCCCTGGGTGTGTATGTGTAGGATTTAAGATACTAAGATTAGAGGATCCTATCCACAGGGGTGGCTAGAAGCAGAGAGGAAATGGGCATAGCTGGGCGCAGAGGACCACACTGAAGAGACTGGAAAAAATCCATACCATTTGTCTAGAAGGTAAAACCAAGTATAAATAGGATTAAAGTAAACACTGTAATTTTCTCTGAGTGATGGGTGGGGTAGAAGAGAAAAGGAGAGAAAGAAAGAAATAGGATTTAGTAATGTGCAAACTATGGTGATGACTATGTTCTGTGTGTGTGTGTGTGTGTGTGTGTGTATGTGAGAGTAATGTGGCAGGTTGAGTACACAGGACGGGAAGCCAAAACTCAGACTTGGTCCGGCGGGACGTCTGGTCCTTGTCTTGGACGTCACCTGGGCCTGCAGGTGAGCTGGGGCAGCAGTTCTCAGCGATGTGGGAAGGGAACCCTATGTAGCTGTCAGCACAGGCTGCCTCTGCATGGCGGCCACAGCCCCTCAGCCCAGCAAGAAGATGAGGAGGTCTTTTTTTCCCCCCAAGACAAAGTTACAGTAAATCTCTGACAAACCAGGACAATTGTTTCCTGTAGCTCTGTGTCTCCCTTCTCTCAGCCCCTCCCAACTGCCACACGTGCACATGTCAGAGAGAACAATTTTGAGTTAATTTCCTGCAGCAATATGTAAAACAGATTAAGGAAATATAAAATCAGAGCCAGCCTGTGCTGAGAAAAGCTTATCTCTTTCCATTAAATTTTATATTTTTAATGGTAGCATTTAAAAAGAGCCTGCCTGTAATCTTCCACAGAGGACCTATTTGAAGCCTTCAAGGGGGCGTTGCTGCCTCCCGTGTACTGACTCTAAATGTCACACGAGAAATGGAAGCACAGATTGTCTGCCACATGACAGGCATGGCTCACTCAGGAGTAAAGATAGGTTCTTTGAAAGATCGGGTCCCCAGAACTGATTTCAATCTCATCACAGCTTTTTTTTTTTTTTTAAGTAATTGTAGAATTGTGGGTCATATATTAAATAAAATAATTAAATTATGATTTAAAAGTTGCAAACAATATAGCTTTCTTATTAATTTTTAATAAAAATATATTAAGCTTATCAAGGATCTCATATACTCTCTACAAAAAGCCTGAGGGAATTCAATAATGACTTCCCCAAGCAGGATTTAAATATGGAT